GTCACAGATGGGACAACATCGGAATCTGAACAAACCAGTCCAACCAGCTCAGTCACAGATGGGACAACATCAGAATCTGAACAAACCAGCCCAACTAGTTTAGTCACAGGAGTCACTGATGGAACAACATCAGAATCTGAACAAACCAGTCCAACTAGCTCAGTCACAGATGAGACAACATCAGAATCTGAACAAACCAGTCCAACTAGCTCAGTCACAGGAGTCACTGATGGGACAACATCTGAACCTGAACAAACCAGTCCAACTAGCTCAGTCACAGGAGTCACTGATGGGACAACATCTGAACCTGAACAAACCAGTCCAACTAGCTCAGTCACAGGAGTCACTGACGGGACAACATCCGAACCTGAACAAACCAGTCCAACTAGCTCAGTCACAGGACTCACTGATGGGACAACATCTGAACCTGAACAAACAAGTCCAACTAGCTCAGTAACAGAGCCTATTGAATCATCCACACCATCTGACACAACATCTTTGACTGGCCCACCAACAACCGTGCCATCTGAGGCCACTACAGAACCTGAAACAACATCTAGTCAAGCTGGAACATCTGGCTCAGTTACCACACCTTCACCTGACTCAGCTCATACAGACAGTTCAGTAACAGCACCTACTGGTGAGACAACCTTAGAATCTGAGCCAACAAATCCAACTGATTCAGTAACAACAAAGCCTGTTGAAACCATCGCTTCCACTGTCCCATTAACATCTCAGCCAGTTCAAACAACCTCAAAAATAACTACAGCACAACCTCCCAATTGCCAAAATGGTGGCACTTATAATGGATTCAATTGCACATGTCGTCCTGGATTTACTGGAGAGTTATGCCAAAATGTTGACACCTTTAAACCAGGTACTGCTATTTGCAAACTTGGTCACACTTAATTTAATTTGAAATGTAAAGGTTGTATGTTGTGTCAAATATGTTGATTTATTTTCTTTTTTTTCTGCAGATACATTTGACCAATCAGTGGTAGTGAATATGGTGGTCAATGAGAAATATGATGACAAATATGATGACAAAGAATCCACAGAGTACAAAGGTTTTGTGGAAAACCTTACAGAAAGGGTAAGTTAATTAGAAGCACACAGTTATGAATTCCAAAAAACAAAGGTTTTTAAGCATTTTTAATGTTCTCTTGTCCTTCAAAAAAATCAATGATAAATTGACATCCTATAGACATGCCAGAGATTTTCACAATAAACTAATATTATTGTCAGGTTTAGACATGGATTGACCCAGGGCACAGGCAGAGTTCGGGTGCAGAAAAACAAAGTCTTTATTAAAACAAAAATGGCTGACGAGGCAGCTGAAAAAACTCACTTGATGAGACGTGGCAAAAAACTTCAAGGACATGAAAAACCAAGCAAGCTACACAGCACAATGATCCRACKCAAACTGAACATAGGACACAAAATATAAAGACAAACTAATGAGGACATGCAAGAAACACCTGGAGACACAAGGGGAAACAGGTGAGAGTGGGTGGGGCAGCAGAGCAGAGAACACAGGAGAACACTGAAATACTAGATAAACCAAGGCATAAAAAACACAGACCATGACAGTACCTCCCCTTTAACGACAGCTCCAGCCGTCATCATGGAGAGGCACGAGACAAGGGGAGACACGTGACAAAACAGACTTGAAAACAAAACACAAAAGTTCAGGGGGATGGCCAAGAAACCATCCAAAACGGGGCTCAGCAGGGACAGGGATGGAGCCATAGGAGGAGGCGGGAATCAACGTGGAGCCATAGAAGGAGGCGGGAGCAGACGTGGAGCCAAGGTAGTAGGTGGAAGCAGACGTGGAGCCAAGGGAGGAGATGGAAGCAGACTTGGAGCCAAAGGAGGAGGCAGGAGCAGACGTGGGGCCAAGGGAGGAGGCNGACCAAACCAGTCCAACTAGCTCAGTCACAGATGGGACAACATCGGAATCTGACCAAACCAGTCCAACTAGCTCAGTCACAGATGGAACAACATCGGAATCTGAACAAACCAGTCCAACTAGCTCAGTCACAGATGGGATAACAACGGAATCTGACCAAACCAGTCCAACTAGCTCAGTCACAGATGGGACAACATCGGAACCTGAGCAAACCAGTCCAACTAGCTCAGTCACAGATGGGACAACATCGGAACCTGAACAAACCAGTCCAACTAGCTCAGTCACAGATGGGACAACATCGGAACCTGAACAAACCAGTCCAACTAGCTCAGTCACAGGAGCCACTGATG